AGCTGTGACTTGGAGGTAGGTATACGAGGCAGTGTCTGAGCGGCTGTGGGACTGGCGGGTGACAAAGATTTGTCCTGACTGTGGGCAAGGCAGGAAAACTCTAGCTACACTCCTTGGCGTTCAGGTTTTGAGAAAACTCTTGTGGACCAAAGTTGTTCCCTTACACAAAGAATGGAAGGCTAGCTGCCAGTAGGAGCCACTTGCTTGTGCCAAGAAAGGCCGGACTACGGGAATCGCAAGACATGGAGGCAAGTACTCTTACCTGTTTTAAGGTACAGGAAGGTGGCTTCTCTTTCACTGGATCTCAAACAGAGGAACTGAAGAACTAAGGACTCCCTCCAACCGGTACACACAGTTGTCAATGGCCTTACACAGCACAAATATTTCCACCCACAATCACCCGGAGCAGGAGTGAAGAAGTATACTCACCCATCTTAAAAATCTAAAGGCACCCACCAAAACAATCCCAACAAATCCCCAATTTCTTACGATTTTGTACTTAATGCCAGGTAATGTTCCTTTATAGGACATAACATATGAATGATTATTTCAGTACAAAATTTTTTTTCTCAAACCATTTCAAATAACATTTATATTCTTAGGAGAGGTGACATAATACCATGTGATTCTAGACTCACCCCGTACTGCATTATAGGTATAGTATAGGGGTTTGTGAAGGATGGCCCCTTATCAAGGATGAGCCCACACACACACACACACACACACACACACACACACACACACATCCAATATATCACTGGCATGCAGGATAAAGTGCGAGTTACAATTCTTGCCATTGTTTAATCAGAAAGTATTAACTGCTTCAAAAAGGCAGACCAGAGGATGGCAAAAATAACTCATCACGTGACCAGAAATGTATAGCCAAAGTAACCCAGTTTTCCTTTTCTTTTTTAGAAAGCTATATAAAAAAACGCCAAGTATTTCTCCATGGGAGCAAAAGAAACTTCCCTCCTGCCCTCTAAAGTCTTCATAACTGAGGGAGCTGAGAGGAGCTGACAGTAGATGGATTAACAGGAGAGAAGACTCACACACGTCATTACCTGCACCAGCATGGGGCATCGCATAGATGAAAAACAAGGATGCTGTGACCCACCGAAATGCAAAGTTCGTATACCCTTCTTCCCACAGGAGAGAGACATGGAAGGTGTGGGGCACTGTGAAGAGGGAGGAAATGATTTGTAGTTTAGATGACTAAGAACAACATTCCTTTGGGCTTGAGTCCTGTCTTCTGTGATGTGAATTTAATCTTTTTTTGTGATAAAATATCAGTAAGAGAACTGAAGGCGATTGTGTTCCTCTTTCAGGGTCTGACCTGGTGTTTGGGTAGGTAAGGGGAATTTCACAGAAAGTCCCTCCCTATGCTTCCAGAGAGAATGTGGACTGAGAGACCTCAGGCCTGCTTCTAAATTCAGCAATGCCCAAGCCCCTTACCTTAGGTGTTTGTTTCCTGAGCCCCAGATTTCCTTTTGAGAAGCACTGCTTAACTCGGAAAGCACCTGGAAGCCCTTAGAAGCTTAGGCTGCCATTAACCCTGGGTTCTCAGATGTCCCTAAGTAACAGTAGCAGCAGTAACATCCCCGGTACCTCCCGACCCAGGGTCTCATCTCCGCTGATTGCCCGGAAGATTCTACTAGTCGCCTGGGTTCTAAATGGAACTGTCACACACTGATCCAGAAGAACCACAGTTCTGAACCATTTGTCACCTGTCGGTAGGAATGAGAAATTCAGGTCACACCAGAACAGCTGAATTCTATAGAGCAAGAATATGTGTGAGACAAGACCCTCTGCTGGTTTTTTGTTTGTTGGTGGTGGTGTTTTGTTGTTTGTTTTGTTTTGACATTTGAGTTGGGGATCAATCCTAGAAGACTCGTTCTTGATTGCCGAACTGTTCCTCTCTCTCAGCTCTACCCAAGAATGTTCCCTAGGACAGGTCCTCTAGCATCCTGCATCCTAGATGATAAAATAACTCACCCCTTAACTCAGCTTAGCTCCCATAGCAACCTCCGAGGAAACAACATCATCCATCACTGTGTCCTCACTTTAGCCCAACATTCTCATCACAGCTTCTTCTGCATCCATGGTATAAAGTCCATGTTTCTGCTTTCATCCCAAAGAAGGTACCAGATTCTTTCCCTGTCATATCCTCAGGAGTTGGTTGATTTAAATTTGATGAGTCTGCTCAAATTTGATCACAGTATTTCTTCAGGGATTTAAGACACTGCTATGATGGATTCTTTTAAGCAATAATTAAGTTCATTTATGAAACCAACAATCTTCCCGCTTTCCTTTACATTTCCCACTTTTCTTATGGTTGAATTGAAGGCAAGAAGTGAACTATCCTTGGTCTTAACTAACTCCATTTTGTTGTCTGTGGTTGAAAAGTTTTGTTTCTTTAGCCAAGGGACAAAGCTTTGCTTGAAAGGCTTATTCTTATGTAAAACTCACATATTAGAAATTCAATATTCCATTATGTAAATACATTACATAACATTTATGTGCTGTTATCTTTATGTAGTTTATGTGTCTGCTGCTGTCTTATGTAACATGTTTGTCTTATGTGGGATTAGCAATATAGTTGTGTATTAGAAATCTAATACTCTAGAAATATATTATGCATTATATAACCAGTCGGAAATGTAAACGAAGACCGATAATGGTTCTCATGTGTGACTACATAGCATGGTGAAACCGGCCTGTTTGCCTAGGGGCCCAGAGCCTTCCATTCTCCATTGCCTTGGGCTCTGGAGACTGATGGGCACTGTCTTGGTAAATAAGTACCAAGTCTGTTTCTCAGTCTTCTAAGTTCAAATATGCAGTTTGGTTGGTGCAGGGGTGAAGGGGTGCAGGGTGAGGGGTGGGGGAGTGGGGGTAGCTGTTCTTACCTGAATCTCAAAGATAGACCCTGAGCTAGTAAACTGAGCCAGAAAGTTGACTTACTAGCACACAAATTATTAGCAGTTTTTCTGAGACTGGAAACGTATAAGTCAATGACCATGGAAGATTGCCGGCAGACAACGAGTCAGCTATCTGAGGAAGGGTCCCACGGGTGTCAGAGGGCAAACTACAGGACATCTTGATTCTAGACTTCTGGACTCCAGAACAGTGGTGAAATCTTTCTTGTTTAAGTACCCAGTTTAGCCGGGCAGTGGTGGCGCATGACTTTAATCCCAGCACTTGGGAGACAGAGGCAGGCGGATCTCTGTGAGTTCGAGGCCAGCCTGGTCTACAAAGCGAGTTCCAGGAAAAGTGCAAAGCTACACAGAGAAACCCTGTCTCAAAAAAAAAAAAAAAAAAAAAAAAAAAAAAAAAAAAAAAGTACCCAGTTTATATTATTTGGTCAAGACAGACCTAGCACACTGAAACAGCTACATATACAAAATGGACTCTGTGAGAATGGAACTGGGGAGGATCCCATGTCCAAGGGCACTGGGCTGTGAAAGCCAGTTCATCTTGCTGATCATAGAAAGGAGTTCCCAAAGGAGCCTGATGGATATGAAGTCCATGAACTAAGCCCCATTTCCTTGTGGCCGGTGCTTTTGAAAAGACGGGTGTTTGTGGGGTCACATCTCAAGTTTAGCAGACGCCACGCACACAGGGGCACCTGTCTCCATTTCCAAGCAACAAATAGTTCTAGTAAAATCCAGAGGGCAAGACTCAAAAATAAGCAGGGGAACGTAAGGGAACCTTCTGTCTGTGTTTGTTTTTATGTTTTTTGTTTCCTGCATTTGGACAGCCCGTATTTGGACAGTATGTCTGTACATCTGGGAAATACCCAAGAACAAACCCCCCAGCTTCACTCTGTAACTCTTATTCACTAGAGTATCCTTCGGAAATGAACAAACTAATAGCCAAATGAATGGACTCTTTACATCCATCACATGGATAGTGTTGAGAAGGTAATGTGTTAGTATGAATTCTGAGTTCATCTGATTGGTTGGAAGGACTGAATGGTAATGTAGTGGGTGCCATTGCTGTGACTCAGCTACCCCTGGCCACAAGCTCTAGAAGCCCCTTCTGTGGACAGAAGGATACCACAAGCTTGACTTCTGCCTCTGCAGAAAGCTGCCTTGGTGGACCCTTCAAAGAACTTCCTGATTCTCAGACCATGCTCAGTCTTCCCCTCCAGGCCATAGTTAGGACACGGCCTCTAACCTGTGTGCCTGGGCTGAAAGGAAACAGATAAAATCTAATCAGACTTTCTTCTGAAGGGGGATAGATAGGGATGGTTCCTTGTCAGGCACAATGAGAATCCCAGCTGAGGGGCTGGAGAGATGGCTCAGTGGTTAAGGGCATCTGATGCTCTTGCAGAGGACCAAGGTTCAATTCCCAGGAACCGAACACTCAAGTGATTCATATACATATATACAAGCAAAACATCCATACATATAAAATAAGACAAATAAGTCTTGAAAGAGAGAAAGAGAAAGGGAGAGAATCCCAACTGAGTATAGTATGTGTTGGTCATCTCAGGACTCCAGAAATTGAGGCAGGAGGCAGGAGGATAACTAAAAACTAGTTCTTTAACCAGAAAGCTTTCTTGCTTCTCCCTAAACGTCCACCCAGGATCCCTCAAAAACTGTCTTCTAAACCTCCTAAGAAAACTACCAGGTCTCCTCATATTTAAGAAAATTAAGGCTTACAATCTTTCAACTCTATGGTGACTATTGTGGTGTTTATCTCCAATAGAGTATTCAATATGTTACAGGAGATAGCAACGCTTTGTATAAAACAGGCTTGGGTTAGATGATTTTGCCAACTGTTGGCTCTTGAAAAAAGGTATTCTGACCCACTTTCAAGGGGCTGGCTCAGCTACCACGCCTGGTAGGTATATATCAAGGGTATCTCACATTGGATCTTTTTTTTTTCAACTTATAATGGTGTTGTTGGAACATAATCCCATCTTAAGTCCAGGAATATCTTGTTCTTGGAGAAATATACTTCATCTATCTTTCATAGTGTTCCTAGTGTTTCTAAGGGACTGGTCTAAAATAGACACACCCAATGCATGGCCAATACCTGTCAAAACCACCTCCCTCCCTATGAGCACCCATTTCTCTGTGTAGCAGAGAAATCTCAGCAGATATAGATGTGGCCAGAAAACAAGCATCATTTCTGGAACCTAAAGATTGCCAAGGAGCAGCACACTTCTGGCAAGTTCCAATACCCACTCTGCATCCTCCAACCTCCCAGGGACCAGGAATGCTGAGCTTCTGTTTAGAACACACTGACATCCATGTATATTGCCAGGTTTCCTTTTAATTGCAGGGATTTTATTGTATCAGATAGGAGCTAACACTTGAAGCTATTCAGTTCAGCCCTGAAGAGCAGGAATTCTTGGGAGATCATAATGAACATTGAAATATCTGTCTCTCACTCTTTCTGTAGACCTGGGCTCCTCTTTACATGTGAGCGTAGTCAATCCGGACACAGTCATAGGTTGCAGATCTAGCTGGCAGCCTTCATATCTTTTCAGATGACTTGGCACATCTCTGATCTGATCATAAGCTAATCTTACATTTAACGTCAGCAATGGGATTCCCCACTTTGGATAGGGAGAACCTGGCATTCCTAAGCACCTACAGGTACTAAATGTGGCTTCTAATGTGAAGGCAGACTACTGAGGGAAGCAGTGCTATTTTAAAAGCAGTTTGTCTGTTACAGTATTTCTCAGTGTTTACTTTTTAAGGTATGAAGGGTACAATTTATAAAATCTCTTTGTTCATAAGAAATGCAAGCTGAAGGATTTCGGGATAAAACATTTTGATGTCTGTAATTGATTTTTAACACACACACACACACACACACACGGAGACAGGCCTACCTATAAGTTATATGGACACCCATGTCTTTCAGTGTGTCTCAAGAGGGTGAATTGCTATGACTGCATTAGTATTGTACCCTGGGCACCTCGTGGAAGAAGTCCCCAATGAGGTTTGTTCTTAGTAAAGGGGGTGGGGAACCTAGATGCCAGTACGTTGGCCTGAAACATTAAATAAACATCCACGCACTCACCGGGAAGGGGGTCTTTACGGACATGACTCTTGTAGCATGAAGGCGGTTGTCTTTCTGGGTCAGGGCCAGGAGGAGGGAGGAGGGAGAAGAGGTGCCAGTCCAGGAGGTGAATAGATCTGGTGGACATGTAACCAAGGGTGGGGATATGAGATGGTTGGTAACAACTGTGCCAGCTGCTCTTGGGGACCGTGGGAGGAGGGACCATGCAGTCTTCTGCAGATGGGGTGTGTGGGGGGGGAACCTGTGCCACAGGGCTGCAAACCACCCCAGAGCACACGAACAGGGAAAGATAGTGTTATCAGAAAGACCTTTATTCTGCCAAATGCTTGGTGGGCTTGTGGAAAGGATTTGGGAGCCAAAACTTGCAACTTCTGGGCTGCTGGTTACGGTATAACCTACGCTTACAGTGAGACCTCAGAGGAAGGGATCAGGTAGGTGTCAATCTAGGAGGAGTGGGAACAGAGAACAGAGATCAGAACAAGGCAGATGACCTGGCCAAAGGCCCAACACCCAACACGCGCCCCCCCCCCGCCCCCCCAAACAGCCTGAGCTCAGAGCCGGTGGCAGCACTAAAATCCAGCTTACT